TTTAAACATTCCAACATCTGAATTATAGGGGTACCAGAAGGAGAAGAGGAAGAGTAACAAGTGGAAACGATACTTGAACAAATAATAAAGAAGAACTTCCCCAATCTGGCAAAGGAAATAGACTTCCAGGAAGTCCAGGAAGCCCAGAGAGTCCCAAAGAAGTACCCAAGGAGGAACACACCAAGGCACATCATAATTACATTACCCAAGATTAAAATGAAGGAGAGAATCCTAGAAGAAGCAAGAGAAAAGGGCACAGTAACCTACAAAGGAGTTCCCATCAGACTGTCAGCTGATTTCTCAAAAGAGACCTTACAGGCAAGAAGGGGCTGGAAAGAAGTATTCCAAGTCATGAAAGGCAAGGACCTACATCCAACATTGCTCTATCCAGCAAAGCTATCATTCAGAATGGAAGGGCAGATAAAGTGCTTCCCAGATAAGGTCAAGTTAAAGGAGTTCATCATCACCAAGCTTTTATTATATGAAATGTTAAAGGGATTTATCTAAGCAAAAGAAGATAAAAAATATGAACAGTAAAATGACAGCAAACTCAAAATTATTAACAACCACACCTAAAACAAAAACAAAAGCAAACAAAGGTAGAATAGGAACATAACCACAGAAATGGAGATCACATGGAGGGTTATCAACAGGAGAGTAGGAGGAAGAGAGAGGGGGGAAAGGTACAGAGAATAAGTAGCATAGATGGTAGGTAGAAAATAGGGAAAGGGCAAGAATAGTACAGGAAATGGAGAAGCCCAAGAACTTATATGTATGACCCATGGACATGAACTAAAGGGGTGGGAGGGTGTGTTCAGTGTGGAGGGGAGTGAAGGAGAAGCAAGAAGGCACCTACTAGGCCTCATGTTTGAAGGGCATGGAAGAGAAAAAGAGTCATTGTCTAAGAGCTGCATAGAAAGCAGCATCCTCAGGCGAGAGTCCAGTTTCCATTTAAGTAAGAAGCTTAAAAGAAGTTGAAAAAAACTTCAGAAAAGAGGTCCAGGATATGGAAATTTTGCTGATATCAACCCATGAGCCCCACAGGGCTCAGGGGAAGTATTTCTATATATTTCTTTCTTTCTGTTTTTTGTCCTGTGGTGATCTTACCTAGTCTCAAGGTTTTAAAAATGACTCAAGTTTGTGTCAACCCAAATATCTCCCTTAAAGTCCAGACTCAATTCTCCAACATCATTCTGCACATCTTTACCTTAATGTCTAATAGGATGTCAAAAGTAACATTAGGGAGGGATGGGTGGGTGGGCTGGAATGGGAGTAAAGGGCAGAAAACTGTACTTGAACAATGATTAAAATAAAATTTTTTAAAAAGTAACATTAAAAACTGAATCATTGACTTCCCTTGCCACCACCACTTCCTTGTCCACCAACAAATCTGTTCATCCTGCTGTCTTCCTGCTTTCAGTTCATATCAATTCTCTTCTTCCAGTTGTTTAAGCAAAAACAAAACAAAACAAAACAAAAAACCCTTAGATTCATCCTTGATTCCCTCTTTTCCACAAAATCCACACATTTGTCCCATTGGCTCTTGTTTCAAAATATATCCAGAATCTAACTAGTTTGCACCCTTCCCTTGCTACCGCCTGATCCAGACCAGCATCATCTTTTGCCTGGATTATTCCAGGCCATTTTGGTCTCCCTGCTTCCACTCTTGTTCCCTATAGTCTATTCTCATCACAGCAACCAGAATAATCTTGTTAAAAGTAATTCATACCATGTCATATTTCTCTGTTCAGAATTCTTCAGTAGCTTCCCATCTCAGTCAAAGTCTAGTCACACTGCCTTTTTCTCTCTTCCTAAAACATTCAAGACATGCTTCCACCTCATAGCCTTTATAGTTGGTGTTTCTTCCATCTCCTCCCCCTGCCACCCCCAACATTCCCCACACACATACTTTATCCCCCATGATACTGTCTGATTAAAGATACCAGGCTAATTATCTTATAGAATGATCCATACCATGAATTTCTCTGTTTCCTCATGGCGGTGTTTAATTTACTTTGTTTCTCCTATAATCTGACATTAGCTCTAAAAGATTAAATAAAGCTAAGTATTTTTTGTAAGAACACTGTATAAGTGATACTTCAATCTTCATATTGCATCATATCAAGAGGTACTATACATATTATCTAATTGTCCCACCATTAGTGATGCTAAGTTTTTAACTAAGGTGTTAAGGTGGTGACTTTCAGATCCCTCCATTGTAAATTTACATTTTTACCTTTGTGATTAACAAATAATCTCAAGGGTAAATTATATTTTTTAAAAATCCTGTGATTTTAAGACTTTTTTAGCTGTGGAACTCTATTCAAATGAAATATTTTTTGGAGATCTAATATATAAAACAGATAAAAGCAGAGCTATTCTGGTCACAGTGAGAAATGTCTAGTATTGGCAGCTTCCAAGGGAACTCTGACAAGCACAGTTTGTAACTCACAGAGCCAGGCCAAAGGACAGAGGCCCAGAGAGGATACATTAAGTCTTCAAGGCCACCTAGCATCTCACAAGAAACATGTAGTGCACATTGTTAGAACACAATTTGGCTATAGCTGCCACTTTCTTGTAAACCTGGCTTGTGGATTATCACTAAATGACACTTGGTTTTTCCCTGGCAGTCCACCCACTGTTTTTAGTTGTCTGAATGCTCTCTTTGACATTCTATCTGTTCTGCAGATGTGAAGACTTGAAATTACTTCATCTTTAGTATGTGTTGGGTTGCAGTCTTTTTTGGAAATTCCTCTTCATCTACAAAGAATTCCAGATTCAGACATTATTCATCTTATGTCTGGAACACTAAAATCTCAAGAGCTTCCACATGTCTTACCTCTTTCCACCTTTAGAATATTGAAAATGCTGCCACAGCTAATGTCAGTTTTATTACTTGCTTGCTGCTTGCTTCCTTTCTGCACCTTAGTTATCATACAGCCTAATATGCCTTAGTAGAGAATTAAATAAGTAAATTTGGCATATCCACACAATGTATATGAGATATATGATGCAGATTTTTATTTTCATGAAGAGTAGGAAAAGAAGGTAATAAACTCTAATTAAATCTCACTTTTGTTTACAATATATAAAATAAACATTCACAAAATTCCCATGTCTGTGTTACGTATATTTAAAGACAGAAAAGACATTTATAGAATGTTCACATTAATACTGTCTCTAGGTGTGATCTTTGATTTTCTCTCTATTTTTCTCTCATCAGGCATGTCTTATTTCTACAGTTATTACTTTTATGTAAAAATTAAAAAATAAACAACTTTGATCTATCAAATCCAAACTGCATTGAAGGCAGTTCCAGGCTCCTCCCCAGCTTTCTGGCATCCATGCCATACTTTGGGATTTTTGTCCTGTTCCCTTATTTTCCCATTCAAGCAAGTTTCCCTTTGACCCATGCTGTATTTACTTTACTCCAGGTTCCTGGTCATTTTCTAGAATTGCCTGGTTGGCTCTGCAGAGCCTTTGGTTCACTTGTACCAAAAGGATATAAAAATTATTTCTAAAAGTAACTGTCACTAGAATGTGATTTCTGTTAGGCCTGTGAGGAGGATAGATACCTGTTGAATGAATTGGTCTTTTTTTTTTGTCTCATTTCTTTTAACCTATAAGCTCCTTACAAGACAAGCTATGGTTGTTTTATATAATGCCCTTAACATTTTAGGTAATTAATATAAATAAATGAATAAAGTCTTATTTAAAAATCCATAATTTACTTAATAAAAATAAATTTGAGATCTGTTGTTAGCTTCAGCCAGAATTTGTGCCTATAGGGATGTAGAAAGCACAGGATTTAAAGATGAAAGACATTCATATCTTGCTTATAGATTTGTGACTGTGGCTTAGTTACTTCAGCCTCTGAGCCAGGGGTGTCCAACTTTTGGCATCTCTGCACCACACTGGAAGAAGAGTTGTCTTGGGCCACACATTAAGTACACTGTAACCCGTAATCACAAAAAAAATCTCTTACTTTTTTAAGTAAATTTATAATTTTGTGTTGGGCTACATTCACAGCCATCCTGGGCTACATGCAGTCCGCAGACCACAGGTCGGACACCCCTGCAAACTGTCTTCATCTATAGCCTCATAGATTCTTTTCTGGACTCTACAGAGGCCTCTGTCTACCTAGCTTTGGTCTGTCTTCTCCAACTCTGTCTTCTGCCTACAGTATGACTCTGACCTTGTCCCCTCCTACTTCCTCTGAAATTTCTCAGGGTCTCTCTGATGGTATGTTGCCACTGCCCCTCCTCTTCAGCTGTAGCTCCCAGAGGTCTCCCTTCACACTTGACACTAGAATAATACCAAACTCCTGGTAGCTCCTCACACATTTCATGCTACCTTCTGCTTTGCTGTCTTTGTCCACAAGCCATTTTCCCTTTCTTCTTGCAGCCAACTACTTCTGCTCTGCTCCAGGACTGGGCTTGACAGTCCTTTCTGGAATGTTTTCCATGATATAAATGTTCGGTATCTTCTTCCTGTGTCTACTCACAGTGTAAGCTGCTTTGAAGCAAAATTATAGATTATCGTGTCCTCATCTTGAAGAGTACCTGGCTTATAGTGTCACTGAAAAGTTTATGAAACTGATTGTATATATGTTCTTCTAACCTGTCCACATGATTTTTATATATGGAACATAATTTGATTTATATATGATCTCCAAGATAAGAAAAAGAAAAGGAAAATATGTGAATTAAATTAACTTAAAATACTTCCAGCAGACAGACAACCATTGTTGATGTTTTGGTATATAACAATACATACAATTTTTTAAATTATAAAATAGTAAAAGTTTAACTCTCAGATTCCTTTCCGAGTCAGTAGTACTCAGAGAAATCAGTAGCTTTGCAAATTACATGCATTAAAAATTAATAGCCAGTTCATTGTGCTTCCCACATCTACAGAATTGTTCTCTGATAAAATATAGCTTTTTTCTCATTCTAACCACAAAAAAATTTTTTGCTTTTCTCATGTTCTCTATTCCCCAGAGCCATCTTTCATCGTGTTTTTCCAGAAGAGAAAGTGAAGGAAGTGCCTTGACCAACTTACTCAGTTGGTGAGTGCAGAAGCTGAAGCTGGGACAGGAGCTCCTGACTGCCCTCCTGGTGCTTTTCCCCTAAGCCACATTTCCTGTTTCTCCACTGGAATAAAATAAAAGTAAGTTTTCAAGCACTTCCAAATTTCCATAAGCCCAAATCAGGCCTGCTACTGAGATGTTCTTATTTTACTTTTAGCCTCTTTAAGATATTAGCCCTAAACCTAAAACATTAATTGTTCTTTCATATTCATGTATATAATTTCTTTGCATATCAGAAAAATCTTCCTTTTAAGAAGTTTCTTAATTTATTTTCTCAACTATTTTTGTAGTGAACACAACAAATAAAATATTCCAGGTCTCTTTTTTCCCTACAAGTAGTTCTATGGTATATGTTTTTGTATTCCTCTAAATTGTTCTCTTGGGATCAGTTTCCATACTGAGTCATTCACCAAAGAGTCCCTGTGTTTTCCAGGCAAACTAATAGTTTTATTCTTTCGAAATGACTCATTACTTCTGAATCATCACACCTTGTGTACTCTGTTAAATAAAGAGCTTTTAGTCATTTTTCTAAAATTTTTCCTCTTCCTAGTTTTCAAGTGCCCCATCTAAGTGACATGGATATTCATCCAGTTTTCTCTTGTGCCTACAAGATTTGTGTCAATCATTTTCTTTTTGAACCCTTTCATCAATTGAGATAAGCAGTGGAAACTCTTTACTTCAGACTTTCTGCTCTCGATGTTTCCTGAAATAGAACACATAAATAGCAACATAAAATATATATGCACACCATTCTGTTTTCTATCATTACATTTATGTTGAGCTTTTATTAACTTCCCAAATTTCTCCATGAAATTAGGGAGAAATACTAGTAAAAGAAAACTAGCTGTAATGCTTGCTGGTAAACAAAAATCTTTGGAATTCAGCATGTTGGGAAGAGTGAAACACTTTTGTCCCTTGACTTCTGTGTCATATTTGGCTGGTTCTCTTCCTGCCCTCTGAAAATTAATTCTCTGTCTCCTTCCTGGCATCCTTCTCTCCCTATACATGCCTGCCTTCCTAAACACTTTGTCCTTGACCCTTTTCTCATACTATGCATGTATAGTCTTGTCCACTCTTGTAACTTTAAAAGTTTTATCTGATACTTATTCCAGACCTTTATTTTCAACTTCTATTACTTCAGTGCTACATATATCCACCTATATGAGGAATATCTTCTCGATGCCCCACCAACACAGCCCATGCCTGAAGCTGAATTCACCTCCCCTGCACTTTTCCCCCAGCCTTAGCATACAATAATCAGTCCAACCTTATCTTTATATCTCCCTAGAACCCATTTTTTAATTTTTTAAATTTGTTATTAATATTATATATGAATTCTCATATTTAAAGTCTCAGTGCTTAAAAGGCTTGTAAAAAAATATGTTTCCAAGTTTTTGCTCTCAACTAGGCTGCTCCTCAGAGATAACCACTGTTAATTTTTTTAGCTATTTTTTCCATTATTTACCTCCATATTTATAAATGCATACAAATTGCAAATTCATCATTCATAAAATTTATTTTATTTTCCTATTTAATCTTTATTGTATTTTTCCATTACCATTTAGTCCCCTTATTCCCCCCTCCCCCTACAATCACTATACTGTTGTCCATGTCCAAAGGTCCTTTTTCCTTTTTGCTGAATCCCTCCACCCCCTAACCTCCTTCTCCAGCTGTCACCCTGTGCTCCATCTATGAGTCTGTCCCCATTTTGTTTGTTAGTTTGTTCATTAGATTGCACATATGAGTGAAATCATATGGTATTTGTCTTTTTCTGACTGGCTTATTTCACTTAACATAATGTTCTCTAGATCAGCAGTCCCCAGCCTTTTTGGCACCAGGGACTGTTTTCATGGAAAGCAATTTTTCCAGGCACCGAGGTGCTAGGGGATAGTTTCAGGATGATTCAAGCACATTGCATTCAAGCTCACCTCCTGATGTGCAGCCTGGTTCCTAACAGTCCACAGACATTTACTGGTCCTTGGCCTGAAGGTTGGGGACCCCTGCTGTAGTTTCATCCATACTGTCATAAAAAATAAATTTTCTTCTTTTTATGACCAAGTACTATTCCACTGTGTAAATGTTCCATAGTTGTTTTATCCACTTATCTACAGATGTACACTTGGGCTGCTTCCATACTAAAGAACCTGGCCATTGTAAAGAACACTGCAGTGGACATAGGGGTGCTTATATTCTTTCGAATTAGTGTTTTGGGTTCTTTCGTATATATTCCCAGAAGTGGGATTGCTAGGTCAAAAGGCAGATCCATTTTTAATTTTTGAGGATTGTCCATACTACTTTCCATGGTGGCTGCACCAATCTGCATTCCTATCAACAGTGCAAAAGGGTTCCCCTTTCTCCACATCCTTGCCAGCACTTGTTGTTTGTTGATTTATTGATGATAGCCAATCTGATGGGTGTGAGGTGGTATCTCATTGTGGTTTTTATTTGAATTTCTCTGATGATTAGTGGCATTGAGCATCTTTTCACATGTCTGTTAGCCATCTGTGTGTCCTCTTTGGAGAAGTGTCTGTTCATATCCTTTGCCCATTTTTTGATTGGTTTGTTTATTTTTTTGGTGTTGAGTTTTGTAAGTTCTTTATACATTTTGGATATTGATCCCTTATTAGATGCATTGGCAAATATGTTCTCCCATTCTGTGGATTATCTTTTCATTTTGTTGATGATTTCCTCTGCTGTGCAAAAAAATTTTAGTTTGATGTAGTCCATTTTTGTTTATTTTTTTTCCTTTTGTTTCCCTCACTGGGGGAGATATATCTGGTAAAATATTGCTACAAACAATGTGTGAGATTTTGCTGCCTGTGTTTTCTTCTACAATTTTTATGGTTTCGGGTCTAACATTTGAAAGTCTTTGATCCATTTTGAATTTATGTGTGTGGTATAAGAAAATGGTCTAGTTTTATTTTTCTGCATGTATCTGTCTAATTTTTCCAACACCATTTGTTGAATAAATTATCTTTAGCCCACTGTATGTGCTTGCTTCCTCTGTCCAATATTAATTGTCTATAAAGGTATAAAGGTGTGGGTTTATTTCTGGGCTCTCTGTTCTGTTCCATTGATCTATATCTCTGTTTTTATGATAATATATGCTGTTTTGATTACTGTGGCCTTATAGTATAGTTTGATAATATCTTGTGATTTTTATCCTTCATTTTGTTTATGTGGTGAATCACATTATTGATTTGCGAATGTCGTACCAACCTTGCATTCCCAGAATAAATCCCACTTGATCATGGTGTATGATCTTTTTGATGCATTGCTGTATTCAGCTTGCTAATGTTTTGTTGAGGATTTTAGCATCTATGTTCATCAGGGATATTGACCTCTAATTTTCTTTCTTTGTAGTGTCTTTATCTGGTTTTGGAATTAGGATAATGCTGGCCTTGTAAAATGAATTTGGGAGCCATCCCTCCGCTTGAATTTTATGAAATAGTTTGAGGAGGAGAGGTGTTAATTCTTTTTGAAATGTTTGGCAGATTTTACCTGTGAAGCCATCTGGTCCAGGGCTTTTGTTTGTTGAGAGTTGTTTGATTACTGCTTCAGTTTCACTAGGTGTAATCTGTCTGTTCAGATCCTCTGATTCTTCCTGATTTAGTTTCGGAAGCTTGTATGTTTCTAGGAATTTATCCATTTTGTCTAGATTGTCCAGTTTGTTGGCATATCATTGTTCATAATATTTTCTTAAAATCCTTTGTATTTCTTTGGTGTCAGTTATTTCTCCTCTTTCATTTCTTATTTTATTTATTTAGGTCATCTCTCTTTTTTTCTTGATGAGTCTGGTTAAAGGTTTGTCAATATTGTTTATCTTTTCAAAGAACCAGCTCTTGGATTCATTGTATTATTTTTTTAGACTCTATTTCTGCTCCGATCTTTATTGTTTCCTTCCTTCTACTCACTTTGGGCTTTGTTTGTTGTTCTTTTTCAAGTTCTTTTAAGTGTAAAGTTAGATTGTTTATTTGAGCTTTTTTGTTGTTGTTGTTTTTAGATAGACCTGTAATGCTGTGACTTTGCCACTTAGAATTACTTTCACAGTGTCCCACAGATTTTGGATTGTTGTGTCCTCATTTTTGTTTGTTTAAAGGTGTCTTTTGATTTCTTCCTTGATCTCATTGTTCGCCCAGTCATTGTTTAGTAACATGTTATTTAGCTTCCAGGTCTTTGCATGTTTTTTCAGTGTTTGTGTGATTGATTTCTAGTTTCATAGCATTATGGTTTTTAAAAAAAGCACTAAATAACCTTCCAGTGTATTATTTATTTCAGTTTTGCATTCTTTATTTCTTATTTTAAGTATATTTTGCTGATTATGCTATTACAGTTGTCCCAGTTTTTCCCTCTTTGCCCTCCTCCACCTGGTACCCCCATATCCTCCAGTAATCCCCCCACCCTTAGTTCATGTCCATGGGTTGTGCATATAAGTTCTTTGGCTTATCCATTTCCTATACTGTTCTTAACCTCCCCCTGTCTATTTTGTACCTACTATTTGTGCTTCTTATTCCCTGCACCCCTTTTTTCCCCCATTCTACTTCTCCCCCTCCCTGCTGATAATCCTCCATGTGGTCTCCATTTCTGTAATTCTCTTCCTGTTCTGGTTATTTGCTTAGTTTGTTTTTGTTTTTTAGGTTCAAATGTTGATAAGTATGAGTTTGTTGTCATTTTGATGTTCATAGTTTTGATCTTTTTCTTAAATAAGTGCCTTTAACATTTTATGTAGTAATGGCTTGATGATGATGAATTCCTTTAGCTTTACCTTGTCTGGGAAGCACTTTATCTGCCCTGCCATTGCTGTATAGAGTAATCTTGGTTGGAGGTCCTACTTTTCATCAGTTTGAATACTTCTTTCCAGCCCCTTCTTGCCTGTAAGGTTTCTTTTGAGAAATCAGCTGATAGTCTTATGGAAAGTCTTGTTTAGGTAACTCTCTGCTTTTCTTTTGCTGCTTTTAAGATTCTCTCTTTATCTTTAACCTTGGCATTTTAATTATGATGTGTCTTGGTGTAGTCTTCTTTGGGTCCAACTTGTTGGGGACCCTCTGTGCTTCCTGGACTTGTATGTCTATTTCCTTCC